TACGCTCTGGCATTTTGACACTTTTCAGATTTTAGTCCAAAAAGATAGGGAATGAACCTATTGATTTGGAGGAAAAGTGAAGTGATTATCGTAGAGAGTACTTTCAAGCTATCGTACAGTTCCATACAAACATACTTCAAACCCAAGATTTAAACTTACTTTCCCCATTTTGCCACACACCATGCAAACATGACTCGTCCAAGCAAGATTGAAGCAAAGGAATATATGGCTTGGTTTGTCAATTCGCTTGTGTTGTGTATTTTGCTCTTAAGTAACGTAACTCTTTTTTTCTGGCAGGCTGTAGGTGTGTGTACAGCAGGCTGTACAGGCATGATGCAAACAAGAAAGTAAACCTAGTTTCAAGTTTGACGGATAACAAAATTTTTTGAACTTTCATAAATTGTGAGAATTCTCAACGGCCTTGTCACTTTGATATTATAAACACAATAAATCGGTGTATTTTCTTTCTCACATTTATACCAATTTATATCAATTTAATACGATTTCAAATCAAAAATCATTATCAGGGCTTGGTATGTTCTTTACTTACGTGTTTTACGCCTTTTTTATTAAAAATATATAAAATGTAAAATGTTAAAAGAGACGATGACGTAATTGTTCTTTTTATTTTATAATAAAAATCACGAGAGAATTATGTTATTATATTTCTATTTTCTTATTTTGAATGCAGTCTTGCGATTTAAAAATCTAATTCTTAAGAATATTCTTTCCAAATAAAACCTTTTTATATTATTTTGATCCGAATTTACTTTTAAAGTTCTCATCAGATTTCGCAAAAAAATTGGCTTTGTGGTATTTTATATGGAGTTCTTGATTTTCTTGATTACTGCATAATGGCCTTATGCAAAAAACCGGAACGACCCAGATTTATATCTGGCAAAGGACTGTCACTGCAGCAACACTTTTTGTTAAATAAAACATTTATTGTAAAGAAAATGTTTTATACATTTAATTGGTGGAAAATGAAGTAATTTCACAAAAGTGAAGTGACAACTTCCAAAGTGAAGTGAAACAATTCAATTGAATTCACCCAACACTGGCAGCCAGTACTGCCATTTCGCTTGATACGTAGCATTGCCAGCTGATTTCAAAAATAATCTTGGATTATTTTCAAAGATGAACGAACTTCAAATATAGATGACACGAATAGATTATCAGGTCCATTCTGAACAGAGACTGCCCAAGAGTTTAACCTCTTTTCCCTTTCGTTCTATCATCAATAAAAATTCCACGAGTATTTTTTATTTTAAATGGCGGCGTTGAGCTTTCTCATAAAATGTCAAACAGCTCTTTCGAAGTTCGAATTTCCTCCTCCCAAATTTTCGCAGAAAATGCTACTCTCTGGGAATTAATTATTGGAGGATTTATTTCTCGGGAGAAACAAATTTCTCCGAGAACAAACTCTCCGGGAGTTTGCAGAATTGGGCTGTATACAAATGTTATTAACACTTGGATAAGTTCTCAAACATACCAATACAATTTATGTAGGTACAAAAAATAAATTTCAAAGTTAATTAACAATTAACCAAAACAAGTGTTCCAAACATCGTCGTTTTCTTTTTGAGGTTTTTAGTATTTATTATTTTTTATCAAAAGTTAATTTAGCTCGTGAAAAATATAACGTCTGATAGTTTTCTCAGAAAACTCTTTTCGTCGACTTCGGAAGATTTTATTTGCCCTCATCCATGGCTTCCGCGGAAACGGCTTTACGTGACTTGAAAACTCGCAC